AACTTCTCCAAGCAATTAACCCAGCCCCTACCTCTTCCAAGCCTTAAATCCTAGCCTAGTGTAGTTCCTTCAGTGACCTAGTTTGGGATGTTTCTTTTGTTGTTGTTTGCTCATGTTTTCAATGTTTTTATTTCCTTTTATGCATTGTGGTAGAATCATATCAACTTTAAATAAAATCATGAAATATGCTGGTTTTTGCTCTAACTGTTTGTTTTTATTTCTTTGATGGTTGAAATTCTTAGCTTGATCAATGATGATTAATTCATGATTGCATTTGGGATAGCCCCAGTGGCCATGAGTAAGCTTTATAATCCGGGTTCTGCACATTTTTATGCAACTTTTCGATGATGCCAAAAGGGGGAAAATAAATAGGTTGTGCTTTATACAAGTGATGTTTAGCTTTGAACAAGTGATGTTTATAACCTAATGAACCTGGTCCTTAATGATAAGTGATAAAAAAAATATATTTCTAACATTGTGTTGATGTTGAGCTGAGTTTAAACAGGGCCTACGTGTATAAAAAGCATAGAGTTTGTCATCATCAAAAAGGGAAAATTTGTTGGCCCAAGTAAAAGTTAGTTTTGAAGACTGACAAAGGAACTCAGGCATGAACCAGGTTCATCCCTTGTGAGCACAGATACAGACAGATTTGAGCATGTGGGATGCACGTGAAGGAGATAAACCTAACTTGACAGAATTGATATCTGCAGATCCTGATCGAAAAGGTTGCATAATTGATAAGGAGAAGGACTCCTTACTCAAAGAGAACAATGTTCAAGATAGGAAAGGAGTTAGAGGTTGAGATCAACTAGAACTCTTCCACCAAGGGAGAGTAGCATCAGAATTCTAGTTAATATTTATTTACTAACTCTATAAATATCAGTGTTATTCTCTTTTACAGGTAATGCACAAACGCACAGGTCAAAAGTGAATTGAGAGCAAAATAGCAAGGCAATTTTGCAAGCAGTTCGTGTGTGATTCAAGTGTGCAAACTTGAAGCTACATGAACCAGATAGAAGAACCAGTTCCAAGTGTCTGTCTTTTATTCTAGTTCAATTGTAGTAGGTGTTTTCATATTGTACCTTTTAGAATTATCTTGAGGCAATTGTAATAGGTACTCAGAGTATTCAAGTTAGAGTTAACTTGAAGTTGTCGCAATAGTTAGAGGTTGTGTGCTACGACGGGATTAGGGTTAGTCCTAGGTTTACAAAAGAGTTTTTGTAAATGCAGTTTTTGGCTTAGTGATTTTAGTGGAGAGTTTGAGAAAATCCTACTGGAAAGTAGGTCGTGCTTTTTTCACCTTTTGAGCCAGGTGTTTTCCACGTAAAATACTTGTATTGTTTACTTTCCGCATTTACTATTTCTGCAATAGTAGGTTAAGGAACACTTAGAAGAACCATGTCCTTCCATAAGCAGTTTAAGCGAAAAATTGGACACCACACAAATCACCCCACTCTTGTGTGGTATTGAAGTATAAAACATCATATGAAAAATCCAACATGTATTTCAAGGTACAACTGACATATATAGGTTTTCTCCCCCTAATTAAAATCTTGACGTGTTGCTAAAACTCTTGATTAATTAAAGTCCTAATACCTTTAACTGCAGAGTGTGTTCGGAAAGATTGAAATTATTTTTCATGAATGGAAATTATTCACCTATAAAATATTTTTCGGTATTTGGTTGGTGAGCAAAAGCGAATAATATGTGTTTTTTCAAGTTTTTCTATTCCATAAAACATTCATAATTGTAATATATGATTTTAACTTGATGGGTTCAAACATTTAAGGTTCATAATATAAAACTCAAAATATTTTTTAAATTATGGATTTAAGTCTAATATCTATTGAAATTTAGTGGATATTCGCATGTATTATATTCCGCGTTAGAAATACTAGGTTCAGACGATCCCCTTGCCAAAGGGCTAGATTTGCCACTGCTGGCAAGTACAAGGAATATTCTCCGATAACAATAGTAGCAAAGTATTTTGATTAAATTTTTGAACTCTAAATATTACTTATCTATCTATATTATTATAAAAGCATGAATACAAAGTCGGTTTACAAAAATAACCTTATAATATTAAGCATAATAACTCATAATAAAAGGATATAACCGGAATTCTAGATATTAACATTATAATCCTATTAGTTTTAGGACATAATACTACACGTTAGAATCCTACACGATACCAAGACAACTTATAAAAGGAATTGTAGCAACTAAGCGGCAGAATCACTTATATGGACGTTCTACCTTTTGTTTAATCTCTATGCAAATGTAAATATTTCGCACATAAAGTAAAATCATAGAAGAGAAACTAATTGGAATTTGAAGATCACTATTCCATAATCGGATCTTGTGATAGAATGATAAACGAGAAGTCGAGAACCTAATTTTATCCAAATTTTAAGGTTATTAAATACAAATGGAGGACAAGTTATTCACCCAAATCACTTTTACTCTTATCTATATCTATATATGTCTATGTCTATCTATATCAATATTATTATAAGAGCATGAATAAAATGTTGGAGTACAAAAATAACATTTTAATATTAACCATAATAACTCACAATAAAAGGACATAATCAGAATTCTAGACATTAGCCTTGTAATCCTATTAGTTTTAGCCTTTTAGGACATAATACTACACGTTAAAAATCCTACATGATAACCTTTAAGAAACCTATTAGTATAATTTTTTGGCATAAATATATAATACTACATGTTAGAATGTACACCTAATACGTTTAGGAACATGTTAAATTTTCTATTAGTATAATTACTTTGGGGATATGGACATATTTTTAGCCATGTAATCCTATTACTTTTAGGATATACTTCTTAAAAAATTTCTATTAGTAATTTAACTTAAAAACGTATTGTATTGTCCAAATCCATTTAGAAACATGAGAGTCTATATCTATCTATCTATATTATTATAAAAGCACAAATGTTCTATGCTAAATGTCGAACAACAAAAATATCCCTAAAATATTGATTGACGTTTATACCCTTAATTATTTACATTAGTGTTTACGGAAAATCGTATGAAAAGGACAAAACTAGAAATACTACACACTAGGATAGGTACTTGTAATAGAATCCATCGCAAATCAGGATCTCTTCAGCGGCGGTGATTTATTACAACACTAAGTGCACAAATATTGGTGGATTTGAATGTTCTATTATATGCAAATATTAATTAATATTTGAAGAGATTTAACTTCCATTTTTTATTCATGGTATCTTTATTTTCCATGCAGAATCCCAAATTAATATATATTTATATTATAAATTTTCTACCTAATTCAATAAAAAAAGATTAGTAATCAAAATTTTAGTTGATTATAAAATTATAAATATTAAAAAATAACTTAAATGGCTAATTTATTCTATTATACGCAAAATATTAATTGATTTTTGAAGAGATTTGACTTCCGTTTTCTATACATGGTATTTTTATTTTCCATACATAATCCCAAACTAATATATATTTATATTATATACTTCCTACCTAATTCAATAAGAAAACTAGAAAAGATTAGTAATCAAAATTTTAGTTGATTATAAAACTTTAAATATTAAAAGAATAAATTAAATGATAATTTTATTCGATGCATAATTTATTTTTAAAAGGAAAAAAAGATAAACGATATTATATTTCATTAAAGGCCTTCGTGCTTTTAGTATAGTCTGTATCTATCTATATATCTATCTATCTATATTATTATAAAAGCACGAATTTTTCATGCTAAATGTTGAACGACAAAAATATCCTTAAAATATTAATCAACTTTTATACTCTTATATTTTGTTAAAAGATACTCTTATATTCGATGCATGTTGTACGACCCTTTACAAGATAATAGCAAAATCATCACATCTAGATTGAAGCTAGTTGTAGACTCCATTGTGGGACCTGCTCAGTCTGTATTCATTGAGGGGAGGAATATATTAGATATTGTCATCATAGCACATGAATTGGTGAAAGGGTACAACAAAAAAGGAGTATCTCCTAGATGCTGTATCAAAGTTGATATAAGAAAAGCATATGATTCAGTGGAATGGCCTTTTCTGAAAATGATTCTGATGGAGTTTGGAGTGCCTGTGGGGTTTGTAAATCTGATAATGGAGTGTGTGACAACAGTCAGTTACTCCTTGATTCTGAATGGAGGTCTAACAGGAAAGTTCAAAGCAAAAAAGGGACTTAGACAAGGAGACCCTATGTCTCCTTACTTGTTTGTGCTGGTGATGGAATACTTAAACAGATCACTGAAGAAACTAAACCAAAATCCAGACTTCAACCACCACCCAAAGTGCTTCAAAAATAATATAACACATGTTTGTTTTGCAGATGACCTGATCCTTTGTTGTAGAGCAGACAAGATTTCAATACAACTAATGCTGGGGAGATTTAATCACTTCTCTGAGGTTTCAGGATTGAAGGCAAATATGGAGGAAAGTGCTTTATATATAGCTGGAGTCTCAAAGGAGTTTACAGACAAGATATTAGAAGAAATGCAATTCACATTAGGAGAGATTCCATTCAAGTACCTAGGAGTTCCACTATCATCAAGGAAACTATCTACACAGCAATGGATGCCCCTGGTTGAGAAGATAACAGCAAGAATAAAGTGTTGGACAACTAAGTTTCTGTCATACAGTGGTAGGCTGAAGCTACTAAAGAGTGTGGTCTTTGAGATGCAAACATATTGGGCACAAGTTTTTCTGTTCCCAAAGAAGATCATCAAGATGATAGTTGCAGTTTGTAGAACTTTTTTGTGGACTGGAAGCACTGATCACTCAAAGAGAGCATTGGTGGCCTGGACACTATATGCAAGCCAAGGTCAGCAGGAGGTTTAAATGTTTTAGACCTTTATTACTGGAATAAGGCTGCCCTATGCAAGCTATTATGGGCAATAACTGAAAGGAAGGAGACATTGTGGATACAATGGATCCACAGTTATTACATCAAAGACATGAATATTGGAAATATGGCTACTCCAGAGCAAGCAAGTTGGGTAATCAAGAAGATTTTAGATGCAAAGGAATGGTTCATAAAGAATTGTCCAAATGACACTTTGAGTTCCTACTGTAAGGGAGGTAAGTTCTATATCAAGAAATTGTACAATGCTGCAAGACCTCAATACCAGAAGTGCAATTGGAAGAGACTAGTGACTACAACAAAAACAATACCAAGACACCAATTCATCCTTTGGTTGGCATTACACAGAAAGTGGGCTACGGTCGAGAGACTTCAAAAATGGGGTATAAAAGTCAGCAAAGACTGTGTGTTATGCAGAAGCAACACTGAGGAAACATTTGAACATTTACTGTTCGAATGCACATTCTCCAAAAATATGTGGAATGCAATGCTGCACTGGATAGGAATACAGCATCAGATAGGAAGCTGGGATGATGAAATAGCATGGATAACAAAGGTGGTGGTGAATAGAACAAAGGGAGAAATTCTAGTGTTTCTATTTACAGCAGTAGTATATCAGATATGGAAGGAAAGGAACAATAGAAGATTTCACGGAATCGAGACAACATATAGCAAACAGATAAAAGAAATTGCCCTAATGCTGCATATACGAGGGCAGAAAGTAGGAAAATGGAAGAAAGAGTTAGAAAAAATGAATAGTTATCCTAGCTAGATTTGTAGTTAGGCAGTGATAACAGAAAGTTAGTTGATGTTTGTTTTTTTTTTTCAATAGATTACAAAAGGATGTATAGGAAACTAGCTCAAGAGTCTAAATGAGCTAGGGATTGTAAATATTTTACTTGGTTAATAAAGTTTAAGTTTAACCAAAAAAAAAATAATAATAATATCTAATTAATTTGCCTAATATTTAGGAATCTAATACCAACTAATGATAGAATTTCTCAATGTACGTTACCTCCTGCCATCATCCACATTAGAGGCGCATCCGGGATTTAAATCTTATGGGTTCAACTTTTAAGGTTTTTAGCATTGAACCCATTATATTTTTAAAGTTATGGGTTCATATCCGCTACTTTTGTAATTTGAATAAATTTTTACATATAAATTGTTACTCCGCATCGAAAGTTATGGGTTCAGTTGAACCCGTTAGTTATTCACTACATCCGCCTCTGATCCACATCTCCTACACAGTTATACCAACAATCTCCTATATTATTCTTTTATTAAATGACCAAATATTAAAACTTTGAGTTGGACAATATCAATCAAACCATGCTCTTTATGATTATTTTTTAAAATTTAATTTGAAACTCTTTCATAAATAATTGACTTAAAAATCTCGTGCAACGCACGAACGTAGAAACTAGTACTATATTAAAAGCACGAAGGCCCTTAAAGAAATGTCGTTCGCCTTTTTTACCCTTTAGAAATAGATTTCATACTAGACAAAATAGTAATTTAATTATTTTCCTAATAGTTAGGACTTTTATTTTCCTACTATTTCGGAACTTTGAAATCAACTAAATTATAGTTATAAAATATTTCCTTATTTGAACTATTTAGGAAGTCCTAATACTTAAGAATTTAAATCAAGTAAGCTTTTATTTATGTAAATTCTTTCCTTGTTTGTATTGAATAAAATAAGTACTAGCGTTTAAGTATGATTCTTCCTTATAGATTAAATAATCCTAATTCCACACAAAGAACATTTATACAAAATTAACTTTATAATTATGAGTATGTTTCTTTCTCTAGATACAAACGAACCAAAATATTTTTAATAAATTATGAAGCTTAAAATAAAAGAACAAGCCAAATATTGTATTTATCGGAAAACAACGAAGGTTTTGGATTTGAAAAAATTAGTTAGTGTTAGAGGGAAGAATTAATTTTAAATCTAACATTTTGGTTAGTTATCATGTTTTGAATTTAAAAAATAAATATTCTCAAAGGAAAAAATAATTGTTCATGTTCGAGAAAATTAACATAACAATAAATATAAGTATTTAAAATACCTAATAATCTAAAATTTTATAGAGAGAGTTATATAGAGTTAACTGTCACATAGTGAAAATTGATCTATATACCAACCTTTATACCTTTTGAAAAACTAATTTTTCCTTCAAAAAGTATATCTACGTTTAAAATATTTATCTGACGTGTAGAACTAAACCTAATTTTAATTTTCACATGTATTTTATATTTTTACTGCTTCTAGAATAGTATTAGCGTAGTCTTTTTAGAATCCGTGAATTGCATATAATTTTATTACAATCATAGACACTAGGTTCTTTACTAATTTGTTGAAAACAATTATTATATTTTTTCTTATTAATTAAAGTATATAGCACAATTTGTATTTGCGAGAAAAAATGCATATTTTGTCAGTTAGTTAACTTATTTGTGTTTTTTATATTGAACTTATGAATATATAAATTTTAAATAAAATTTACGTAATAGCTTAAATATTCAAGGATTGATGTGTTCTTGCTAAAACTAAAAATGAAGAATGATAACTTGTGAAATTAATGTGATAATATTATAAAATTTATAATAATTTTTAAGTTGAATATATTGACTGACATGATTGAGGGCGTATATGGGGTATATTTTGCTGATTGTGTTAACTAGATATGTCACGACCCAAATTCCACTAAGGGTCGTGATGGCGCCGGACACCGCTGTCAGGCAAGCCAACCAAAATACATAATTAAATTCTCGTTTTAAATATTTCCAAAATTACTTCTTTTATACGGTTAGACAACACATAGCAAATTTCACTAAATAAGAAATGAAACATTTAACAACTTTAAAAAAATCCTAAATAATCCCATAGACATCCCCAGAACCCGGTGTCACAAGTGCATGAGCTATTTCTAAGAAACAATACAATACAACATCCGTCCGGAATACAAATTGGACAGAAAGTAAATACAATACATTGGAAGAGACTATACTAGTTGCGGGTCGCCTCGAGTAATGCAGCTCACCTAGTAATGACTAAATGTTAGTATGTAATCAAAAGTCAAGTATGTAAAGCCATATTTTCCACATTTTTTCAAAGAAAATATTTTTAACAAAAGCAAATAACTTTCTCATGAAAAATATTTTCAAGAAAAAGAACTTCTGTCATACCAAATACACACTTTATTCAAGACAAGTTTTAACGGAGCTGGGAAATCAAGATGATTTTTTGCATGCCTCCAAGCGTTATCCTGATGATGTTAGAACTTAAACTACATATATAAATTAAAGTTGAGTTTCAATATTTTAGTACCATTTTCTGATCATGAATCTTTAAAGTATTTACGTACAGATAATTAATAATTGTGTAGCACGCATGTGTATGTTTTACTGCTAGCACGCACAAGTCTGTTTGTGTTTCTCCAACATTCGATTGATTACTGATTAACTTACCTTTGGTTTCCAAATCACAGTGGTTCATTTTTATTTAAGTTTATAGTTTAATTTTTGTTTTATTCAAAGTTTTTATCTTCTTTTGCAGTCATTTTGTTGTTCTTCCCTTATATAATAGAGGACAGAACACGTGACATAACAGTTGACATTTCAGTTTTAGCAACTTTTTGAACTCTCAGGACAAAGGCTATTATTCTTTGATTTTTCAGTAAAGTGACTCTCTTTGGTTCTTTTTTATATACTATAGGTTATCCATTAAAAATATCAATGATAGCATAATTTTAAGATTGGTATTTGATTAAATTATTCTTTTATTTTCATTAATGAATAGTTAATGAGTATATTGCCCTCTTAGAATTAATAGGAATGGTGGAATTGGAAGAAAACTGATGACTTCTTGATTTTCATGAATGAAAAATATTTTGAGACAATATTTTTGACTAAAACGATAAAAAGGAGTGAAAAGAGTGTTAAACTTAAAAGCGTGTATATCTTTTCATGTAAAGCAAGTGATGGAATTCATTATTGACAAAACAGTTACAAAATTATGTCATTTGGACTTTGGTCTAACTCCCCAACAAGAATTAAGAATTAACTCAAATAGCTGCTCATCCAACCACTTAAATTAAAAATAGCAGGGAAATTTATAATATATACACAATTTATGTACTATATGTGTATAATCAATATATAATCTATGTATATAGCTAGAAAAAGTACACAATAAATATGACCGACTATTTGTGTAAATATCCCAAGTGTCGCTTGTTTCACTGATCTCATGGGGCAAGTGAACATATAACCATTCTTAGGGATGCTATTTAGAGATTAGCCAAAACATATTTTGTCCCGAAATTTTAAACCAAAAATCTTAATTTCAGGATAAAATTGACCTAAAAGCTAAAATTCAAGACGCAATAGCTAATGCCTGAATAGCATCCCTTTAGAGTGGCTACCTGGTGTCATTTTTACTTGTCTCATCCATATTCCAATCGAAGTTACATTCAATCTACTATATTATTGAAGTAGAAAATTCACAATATATAACATTTTTCAATATTTCGTTCAAGCAAATGAAGATGTTTTAGAGCAGAGAAATAACCCTATAAGCGTTAATTTTTATTTTATAGTCGACCAAATCATGTTTCTTTCCGAAAATCCTGTAGGACACAAAATAAAGGGAAAATGCACAGTACGCCCGACCTATAACCGAATTTTCAACTACACAATCTACCTTTGCGGGGTTTTTATTACCCCTGAACTTTCATCTTGGCATCAAATATAGCAGAGGGAGAGGTACAGTGCTATATTCTTCATTCCTCTCCTCTGTACTTTTATCATTAGTCAGAATGGAACAGAGAAGGATCCAGGAACTTCAACAACAACAACAACAACAACAACATACCCAGTATAATCTCACAAGTGGCATTTGGAGAGAAATAGTGTGTATGCATGCAGCCTTAACCCTACCTTGTGCAGACAGAGAGATTGTATCCGATAGACGGATCCAAGTCTTACATATAAGCATCTAACTGTGACGTAATCTCAAGGAACTTGATGAAAATTCTCATCCATCTAAGATTAATGCCCCAGAGATTCCCGGGAGGAATGGGACAAGAAATATTACCTGAGTCTAGATGAGTATTCATGTCTGCATTTATGCCTTCTCTACCAACAAAATATAGATGCAATTTTTTCCAAAGAAACAGGTAAAATCAAGTCCAAGAAGTCACCTCCACATTAAACATACACACATATATTCTGAAGGTGGGTAAGTGATTAAATTATTTGGGAAATTCATTTTCAACACAACATAAACAGTCAAACCAATGAACAAAAGGACACCAAATACTACCATGAAGCTGCCCTTTGCTGTTTACTGAAACAGCTAATTGAAACTTCATAAACCCCTTTCTTCATGGTATGGCTTTCAGTGCAATATTCTGCTTCAATGAATAACTTCTGAGCATTAAGGAAATGCAGCTTGATCAGTTAATTATAATGAAGTTTCAACGATATAGGCCACTTCAAATACAAAAGCGCCTGTTGTTTTCCCCTCCCTTAAACAACAAACAAGATTCATTTACCAACTCCATTTGATAGGCTCCTATCTGTGCGGCCCATGTTCATAGAAAATAGATGAAACGAAAACAAGAATACATCAATCTCATTGGTATTATTAGTCTGCCATCTTATTGTAGTCATTGGCTCTTGTACACATGACTTTCAGTAACTTTACTCCCTCTTTCCCACTATAAGTACCGCGGCTGATTGAGCAACGAGACAATACTTGTATATGAGTAAAAGAAAATGTAAAGTACTAGCACTAGTTAATAAATTAGTAAGAGTGAGGAAAGGTGCAATAATATCTCCTTTGGTTGTCTAAAACAACAACAACAACAACAAGATACCCAGTATTATCCCACATCGTGGGGTCTGGGGAGGGTAGTGTGTACGCAGAACTTACCCCTACCTTGTGAGGATCTCCTTTGGTTGTCTATATTTGAATTTTTCAAATTAAATGAATTCTTGAAGAAAATTGAGTTAATTACTGAATATTACTATCTGGAAAGTGTGTCATACATTCTGGGTGGAGGAGTAACATTCAATTTTTAAGATGTTCCTCAAACCACTTCTCCAGCAAAGTTAAAGGGATACGGCCTACAGCCCCCCACCCGACCCAAAATTTGGCAATTACCCTTCAACAATAAAAGATATAAAGGAAGACACTCAGAGTAGAATTAGAATGACAATTTACTAAGTCTCTGCCTCAAACACTTTTATTTATATGCTCAAGAGATCATAAGAAATGCTATAGGATAAGCGGACTTATTATCGATGGGGAAGAAACATAGAAATAGTTCACATAGCAGAAGAAGAAATGTTGTATTATTTAACTTCAGAGCGAACTTTTAATCGATGAAAGCAGCAAAAATATCTTTAGACGTGTAACCAGGCACTTGTATATACACATGATGCAATGGAAAAGAAAAAATTGCAACTACTACTACTACTATGCCTCAACCTCAAACAAGTCGGGGTTGGTTCCATATTGCTCCAATTAGCCCCGTCTCAATCCAAATAGAAAAGAAAGAACACTTAAAATATTTAAATGAAGCACTCATATGGAAGTTACAAAGAGTAACGATGAACCTGACCTAACTTGGACAATAATAGACCAACAAGAACCTCGCATCGCTTGTAATCTACTGCATCCCCCACTCTGTCCGTCCAAAGTGATTCCTGTACAACATGAGTTTTTAACTATACTTTGATGAAACTTATACTTGATATAAGTTTCATTATCGACTTTCTTCAAAAATTCCTTTCGTGATGCAACACTTTGCTGAGGTACTTCAAAAGAAGTTTGAACAATGACCTCCTCGGCTCCAAGTATTAAGGGAAGATATCAGCAGAACAACTTTAGTGAAGGCACTTTGTACCTTCACAAATAACTAACCAGATAACAAACAACACAAGACATACCACAACATCAATAGCAAGGACAATGCGTACATGGCGACACCACCTCCTTTGAAAGTTTCGAGATCTTGATATGGTACTTACCAAGCTCAACTCTTTCTGTGATAAAATTGGAGGAACTGCTGATTCAACCATAACTTGTTCTGTAGATTTTTGCTGCTCCTCCACCTCATTATCTCTAATAGCAATAACATGATCCTTCTTTTTCTTCTTTTCTTGTCTACTAGGCTTGCCCAATAACAACACTTTTGTTGAAGCATCACCCTCAATTTGCCCATTGACATTTCGACATGGTAAAATAACAGGAATTGATTTTTCTTGTAAACAAAGTGAGTTTAGATTAGACATAGTCCAACAAGAACCCCTTTTAGCCAATTTTCTAAATTCATCCTTTAATTGTTCAAGAAACCTTAAAACTTCAACATTACCAAGACCCTCATCTACAATAGCAAAGTAAACATACTCATCACTTTCAATCAAAAACCCAAAAGTCTTTTTAGCCATAGTCTGAAAATACCATTTATGAAAAGGAGGAATTCTTTCTAAGCACAATGCAGCCAAGTTCTCAATATCAAGATCTTCACCATTATTATATGCATATAGAAGTTGACCCCCTTTAGATACTGAGCAATAGTAAACTGTTTTTTGGATTGAACCCATCTTCTAATAAAATAAATTTCACAGGAAAATTAGCTAGCTAGTCACTGTTGACCACTATAGGCTGAGCTCAATGTGAAATCAAATTGCAAATTTTGAAGAAAGCCAAAAAAGCTCAGATCCTAAAGCAATCAAGATTGAGATGTACACTGTACTGTGAGACTTACCTGAGGAAGTTTTTCCCCAGATGAAGATTTCCAGTCTTGGAAAATAACCAAACTAGAAAAGTACAGAAAGTTTCTGGTCAACCAGGAAAACAGTAGAAACAATCTAAGATGTATGGTGTACTGTCAGACTTACCTGAGGAAAGAGTCCGAAACTGAAATAATGGGTTTTTAACATAAAATACGTTTATACAGTTGAAAAAAAAAAAGTTACACATTTCTACGTAAAACGCAGTATTATACTACGTTTTATTTAATTATTGGTTTTTTATAGGAAAATGCAGTATAGTACTAACCCCTCCTTCTTCCCCACGACAGAACCGGTGGTCATTTTAAATCCCCACACACACACACACACACACCATTTCTGCTGGTCCCCACCTTCGATTAAAAAAAAAACTTGGGCCCCATCCGTCACACAAAAAGTGAAGAGCGTAGGTCTAGCATACAAAAAGCTTTTCTTCTTTCAGTGAAGCTTAAGCTGTCTTGTCTTTACCCAAGCCTTCGATTGTTGTGGATTCCTTCTTTCGGGGTCAAAATTTCAAATTTTCGATATTTCAAAAAACATAAATCGAGGTATTCCGATTTAGTTTATGTCAGAAACTCGTAGAGCATATACATATTTGTTTTCTTGAATGTGTTTCCACGTTGATTTGTATTATGTTTGCGATTAAATTTGTATGTTATTTTTTCCAGGATTAAATTATTAGTGTTTTAAAAAAATAGTTTAAAGTTGAGAAATAATTTTTATTGTTAATGAAATTGTTCACAAATATCTTTTACTGTTTTATATGTAATTTCGTGAATGTTATGTTCATATATTTGTTTTTTTATTTAGTTTAGATTATTTATTTGCGTAAAGAATAGTGGCCTTTTAGCGTAGTAAAATATAGAGCCTTTTAGCGTAGAGTCTCTGTAGTTTAAGTATGTACTAACTACAAACTCTATCCAATTACACTNACTAACTACAAACTCTATCTAATTACACTTTACAAAAATTACTTATTTAATTTATAAAATAAACTTATAGAACTAACAAATTAATATATGTTGTCAAATTAAATATCGAGCGTGGAACTCATAGTTGTATACCCTGTCCAATTAAAAATTAATTATTTAATTTATAAAACTAACAAAATTCTAAAAATATTGAAATTGACACACAAAAGAATTCAGGATAGCTTGGTGCTACTGGGCCTCAAATATCGAGCCTGGAACCCATAGTTATATATTCTGTCCTATTAAATAATAAATATTAATTATTATAACACAAACAAAATTCTAAAAATATTGAAATTGACACACATAAGAATTCAGGATAGCTTGGTGCTACTGGGCCTCAAATATCGAGCCTGGAACCCACAGTTATATACTCTGTCCTATTAAATAATCAAATATTAATTATTATAACACAAACAAAATTCTAAAAATATTGAAATTGACACACATAAGAATTCATGATAGCTTGGTGCTACCGGGCCTCAAATATCGAGCCTGGAACCCATAGTTATATACTCTGTCCAATTAAATATTAATAATTATAACACAAACAAAATTCTAAAAATATTGAAATTGACACACATAAGAATTCAAGATAGCTTGGTGCTACTGGGCCTCAAATATCGAGCTTGGAATTGACACACATAAGAATTCAGGATAATTGACACACATAAGAATTCAGGATAATTGACACCCATAGTTATATACTCTTTCCTATTAAATAATTAAATATTAATTATTATAACAGAAACACACAATTAATATTGTTTAATTTACAGTAGACAACTTGGACTTGCCACCTGTGCATCCTGGACCAACCTCGGATCAGATATTAGTGTTACAGGGCGACCATAGGTCCGCCTACGTATGGGAGGGACATCTAGTGGATCAGACTCTCCGCGCCAGGAGACCGGACGACTTGTGGGACTTTTTGAGGGAGAGAGCTTTCCATCCTCGCGTAGTCGAGCGCCTCATTACTACGGGCTTCTATAGGATTTTTGAGATTGGGCGGCTGCAGCTCGACTGGTCTCTCATCACGGCGTTGATAGAGCGGTGGCGACCAGAGATGCACACTTTTCACCTGCCCACTAGAGAGGCCACCATCATGCTTCAGGATGTTCAGGTTTTATATGGGCTGCGTGTTGATGGACTGGCCGTTGCACTGCCCCAGTATATGAGAGCTATGACGCGTCCCCAATATTTGGATTTGCTGGGGCAGTATACTAGTTTCAGACCACAAGGTGAGCTGCAGTTAGAGGGGGCAGTCGCATTTCTGTAACAGCTATCAGACAGCATATGGAGGTATTGCACCCCGACATTACCGGCGAGACAGAGGATCTCCATATTCACCGGTACACGAGGTTGGCGTTGTTCCTTTTTTTTGGGGGTGTCTTGTTCCCGAACACTTTGGGAAATCTAGTGAGTCTGCGCTTTCTGCATCATCTGCGGCAGCTAGATGAGTTACCCCAGTACAGCTGGGGTGCTGCTGTTCTCGCATACCTGTACAGGAGTATGTGTCGGGCTAGCATGGGCACCCAGGTGGACATATGAGGTTTTCTGCCGCTTCTACAGGTGACAACATATTCGAATACTCTGTTCGTTACTTCGAATTCTATATAGTCAAAATGACTCTTAAAATTTACGTCAACCTTTTATCTTAGGTTTGGGCCTGGGAGCGGATCCTGCCGTTGCAGCCACCTCTACCACCATTAGAGCTGGGTGTAGCACCTCCGTTTCTCCCTCTAGCTAGGAGGTGGGTTCTCCGGCATGGGAACTACCGAGGCAGTGATGCTCATCGTAATCTCCCGCTTGTCAGGGATGTGTTGGATATGTTGGAGGCCCGACAGGTAAATATGTACCTAAACTTACTTGTTATAAATTCACTTGTGTTGCGCATACCCACTTTTATGTTATTATTTGATAGTTCATCCGGACGCCATACAACGACGAGTTGCTAGATGATCTTCCCGATTATTGCTCGGTCGACCGACTGCTTTGGAGCATTTTTGTCCCGATGATGTGCCTCAATGTTGTGGAGCATCATGCCATAGAGCGTGTACTTCGCCAGTTTGACCGTCCCCAGACTATACCGAGGGAGTCTGCAGGGTGGCTACACATTATCAGCGGGATGATCGTTCGAGGTTGGACAACGAATTTGTAGGATGGCTAGAGGCGCAGGTGTCACGCCCCCTTTTTCCTTCACGGAATCGGGTTTGTGACATTCGATTGGGACAACTCTTTCCTTTTGGGAAAGGGGTTTGCAATTTTGAAGAGTCGCCACCTAACGATTTTAAGGTGCGTTAGGGCACCTATGGGGTTCAACTACGACTATTTTTGATAACCAGAGATAGGGTAAGGGCTTGAAATTATCCCAAGGGGAAGGTGTTAGGCACCCCTCAGGATCCACTAGTGTGGTTCCCGGCCAGATAGTTCTTTGTGAATTTGTGCAATTAACAAGTAAACAAATAAGCTCAAATAAGAGGGGATTTTAAATACACAAATGTTTGTAAGTGATAGAATAAAACAAAGTTTTGAAAGAGTTATAACTAAACATGCTAATGAATATAAAGGGGGTGCTAGGTTTATTTGTAATATGGATCACATCAAAGCAATACCCGGTAATCACTCCTCAAAAGAGGGGCTACACGTGGTATTAGCGCACCGGTCATCATATCCATATCTACCTTTCCCACCCCGTTAAGGTATTAAAGCGCGAATTGGTCTCGACCTCTATTGCATGCTATTACCCATCCCATTCCTGTCAGTCCCGGAGGGATTTAGGACTACTATTCCTATGAGAGGGAGGATTTTTCGGCTGACTCTTGGGTTTTAAAGGTAAAAAGACTAAGGCGACATTCAAAACATATAGGACTGCATATTAGGGGAAACATGATAACAACTAGAAGGCTCATATATACCTCCTCAAGTAAAGCACATAAATAGCATGACTTAAAACACATTTAGGGCCAGAATTCAAAGTACTAAGACATGGGAGTTTTAGTTGTTGAAGCACACCAATTTATTACATAAATCAGATAAGAAGTCCGAATCAGGACTGCCTGCTGGTTGTAGCGGTTGCTAATTAAACAAAGGCGGATTCAATTTTATCGTTATTACTTAAGGCTTGCCTAGGTGTGTATTAATGATACCCTATAAGCATGATATCTATTACTGATTCAAAAACGGCAAAGCAGTAACAGTTTTAAATGAGCAAAATGGATCCTATAGGCATGCTTTCTAGACCGCATTAATGAAAGGAGTAACTAATTTTAACACAGTACGAGTCAAACTAATTTTAAACTAAATTGGTTTCAGATTTTATGGACATAACCTCTATTGTTGAATCCCTACAGACATGGTATCTAATATTAAAGGCTGATTTGGTCCTATTGGCATGGTATCTAAAGAAACGGAGTAGGCAGGATTTATTTGATCACAGCGAAATTCCTATAGGCATGATTTCTATATTGATATTAACCTTATGGGCATGACATCTAATTTTGAATCTGATTTTTAACCTTGTAAATATGACGTCTGGTTATAGCCATTATATCTTATAGGCAGGATATCTAATTGTGGAAGTGAAACGATGCAGAAATTTAATAGATAGATCCTATAGGCACGTTATCTAAGTGTAGAGGTAAACATGCAGAACTTATTAAAACAGATCCTATAGGCAGGATATCTAAGTGTGGAAGCAAACATGCAAAACTTATTAAAACAGATCCTATAGGCAGGATATCTAAGTGTGGAAGTAAACATGCAGAACTTATTAAAACAGGTCCTATAGGCAGGATATCTACCCATAAGACATGCATAATTACCCCATCCCTTTTCACTAACCAACCCCAATATCTGTTTACAAATTATTACAGACCAAATATTGAATTATATCAGAAAAATGTAAAAATAAGAAGTTACAACCATAGGAAGCCTGATTCTGACATCCTCCCTAAGTTATGGAACAAACCACCTCAAATGGCACTTGTTTCAAAGCCTTTCTCAGACCTGGGTGTGTCAAAGTTCCCTAAGGGTCTCAAGGGACCCCAGGCAGTGTTTACACCCAGGCTTGCATAACCAAATAGAGATGAATCCAGTGTGGAAGGGCCAGCTCTTATGTGTCCCAGTTCAGAGGGAGCTCAAGGGTCCCAAGGCAAGGCTCACACAAGAGGGACAGAACTTAGATTCTAGGAATATAGTGAAAGTGCTGAACATAGAGAATTAAAACTGGGCTGGGAAATAGTAAGTGATAAGGATGATTTGAAAATAGTAGTAGAAAGATTTAAACTATACAGGGTCAGCATTTGCACAAAGGGGTCAGGGGTTTTGGGAATACATTACATGAAGCATATGACCCTAGGAGGGGTCAGGTTTAGACATGCACAGTAATAGAGGATGCTGGCATGTTCATAAACCAGCCAGAGAATACAAACATAAAGAGGGGGTGTAGGGTTTGGGATTCATATACATAGGAGAGCATTAACTTGAAAAGGGGAAGGAAACACATTTCAACATGCTAATAATTTAACTTGATTGGAGAAACATAAGCAGAAGTGGACAAGCATGAAAGAAGCTCAAACAATTGCAGAAACATGTTGTTGTTGATGCTTGAAAATTAACTAGGACATACCAGTAATAAGCAAAGTGCAAAAAGAAAGGTAAGCAAATGTCCACAGCCTAGCCTTGGCTTGCAGCCGGCTAGACAAAGCAGTAGCACAAATAGTGACAGAGAAAAGAGAGAGTTTTTAGTGAAGTGTGTGTTCTGAACTTAGATAGTTCTTATTTTTGAAAGAAGAGGGGTGCAGGGTATTTATAGTTTTTTTTAAAACGAGTGAAGGAGAGGTAATAAGTAAACTCTTGATACAAACATGGAAACAATCACAAGTCAGAATCAATTACCCAAGTGATTCCCCTTTAATTAAGGAATCACTGTCTAACGGGTAGGAGCAGGTCTAATTAAGGAAAGAAAATCAGTTTGGAAGCAGATTGATTGTTGCCATATAAGGGGTAGTAAAAGCATGCAGTGAACAATCGAGTCTAAGTACAAAAATATGCTTATTTTGGGAAAGAAATCAGCAAGGTAACACATTACAGTAAAGGGAAAAGAATCAATTAATTTTAAACAGGCGAGTGAAATTAGGGTTCATAAAAGGAAAAGTTTTGAAATCATTCACAAGATTAAGACAATCAAGGAAGAATATGCTTCTGCACTTCAGTATATAAATAGAGTGAACAGAAACATCAGACATGCGAGGCCAAGCATATTGGCAGAAGAAACAGCATACAATAGTAGCAGAAATAAGCATAGGATTCAGTAGTGAACAAGGTTAGATAGTCAGGGCTCACATGAGTAGCCAAAGTGAAGAAGAGAGTCAAAACAAGTAAAGGTCTTGCAGTAACAAGTGAGAAAACCTTTCGAGAAGTCAGGGTTTCAACCATAGTCGAGTAGAAATCAGATAAGTCATATAAAGAAAAGAGAGTCTGAAACAAGAACTTTCATTCGAGTCAAGTATACATTCAATCAAACAGTTTCAGACCCAAAGACCTAGGGTTTTCAACAATAATCGAGTTTAAAAGATGGTAAAACAAATAAGTCAAACAAAGCACTTAATCAAACAAGTACACATCTAACGAACAACTTCAGAACTCGAAGGACACCCAAAAGGAATTAGGTTTTTCAACATGCTGACTCAGATAGAAGAACAACATGAGCAAAATATAGCAGAATCACAAACAGCATTAAAAATCGAAGAAGAGATCTTTTGAAAAACTTAAAGGAAAACCTTAACGAAAAGTTGTTTTGAAGGAAAAGTTGAAGAACTTTCGAGAAAAACACTTGACATTCACAGCAAGTACATATCTAAAGTAGATCTGAAAGAAAATTAAAGGATCTTAAGGATTAGGGTTTCGAAAAACCCAGAAAAGGTGAGAAAGGCCTTGAAAGTTACCGATCTAACCAGGAGAGTCAAGGATATGACTCGAACGGCCATGGCTGGCCGGAGAAAGGTCAGGGATGAACCGAGAAAAGCCATGAACAACAGTCGAGCAAGGACTGGACCAGATTCCTTCTAGGACTAGCCATGAAACCACAGAAACAAATACCCAAGAGTCATGGGAGGCCACCACACATCTCCAATGGCCATGGGAGGCCATGGATTAGGCAGGGTTTAAGGTGGATTAGGGTGTAGTTTGATGGCGGCGGCTAGGGTTCGTGCTAGATTCAGAGAGAGTTAAGAGAGAAGAGGGATTCAAAGGAGGCGGTTGGTGAGAAATGAAGTAGGGTAAGGGATCGTTTGGGATTAAAAAGGAAAGGGCGTATAGGAGCCGTTGATCTAAATGATCAACGACTAGGATTAAAGGGGTTAGGTGGGGAGTCCCGGTTGGGTCGTTTAATGGGTTAGGGGTCGGGTTTAAACGAAATTGGACGGGGGGAAATTGGGTCTGATTTGGGGTTCCATTTTAGGCTACAATTGAAATAAAATTGGGCTATCATTTGAATAGCCATTTTTTCCCTTTTAAAATTATAAAAATAGTAAATTAATTTCTGGAACCAANAGTGCGAATGTAGGTCGAGTCGTTCAGCCATGCAATGTGGCGATCTTTCAGCCGTGCAATGTGGTGATCTTTCAGCCGTGCAATGTGGATGGAGACAGGGTTTAGTCTCGGAAGGCAGAATGGTAGCCTTATGCAAGTTGGAAGGCAGAATGGTAGCCTTATGCAAGAAAATAAAATAGCAAATGACAGTTGAGTTTCTTAGCTGATAGCAGATTGTGGCGTGGTGATTACTGGGAGCATTGTGATATACGGGACATCACTGGTGTGCGGGTAGCAAATGTTGGCAAGTGTAACGTTTAAGAGAGTCGTATTGTTGAACAATGTTTGCTCCATGAGTGTGCACTATGTTTTATTGATGTCGCAATCCTTGTGCGTGCGTCCAAAGAAAAATCGTGAGTTTTGTAAAAGGGGGGAAAGGTTAGTTCGTATCCCCACTGGCTTTGCTTGACTTGTTCTGCTTTGATCTGGTGATACCATTTGTATCATTGGGGTAGCGTTGCTAAACAAAGCAGTTTCGATAATAAACATGCATGATTTTGTAAAAGTATAACATAAATGTATGATAAAATAGTT